TGGGCCCATTTTCTCAATTGCAAAATAAACTGCTAGTGAAATAAAGCTCAAGGTCTTGGCCCTCTCCCGGAGGGCGCAAGGGCGAGTGAGATGGCTCTGACCAAGTGGCGCCCGCTGGGGCCTTCGCATCCCCACCCACAGCGTGGCCCGCTCCGCACCTCGCAGTGCCTGCCCGCCGCGCTTCGCCTCTTCGTGCCCCGCCGAGCTCAGGTCGGCGTCGTACCAGCCGCTGAAGCGGTTCTCCAGGTTCCACGCGCTCTCGCCGTGCCGGATCAGCACCAGCTTGTAGGCGGCCATGGCGGCAGCTCCGAGTGCAGTGCAGACTGGGGATCGCCGAGATTCCGGAGTGGCAGTCCAGCCCCCGCGCGCCTGCGCGCTCGCGCCCCACCTCCCGGCTCCGACACACTCGCTCACCCTAAACCTTTCCACTCGCTAGAGGCCGCCGTCCGCCCGCCGTGTGTGCGCATGCGCCCCGAGCCGGCGCTGCGACCTCCGCGGGGAGGGGGCGTGCTCCCGCACGCCAGGGCGCATGCGGCCTCCGCAGTCGGCCCCGCGTCTGCCGCGGAAGTCACGGAGCGCACGTAAGCGCTGAGGGCGGTGCGACCTCTGGGCGGCGGTGGGACCTGTGTGCGAGTACGAGTGTTCCAGAGCCACCCTGTTCTCGCGGAATAGCTATCATTCTTTAGCCATTCGTTGTAATAAAATGACCTTATCATCCCAATCCTGATGCCCTGGCCCTCCCAAAGAAAGCTTAACCTTGGCTTATTCAGACTGAACTTTTTGTCCCTCTGCCTTGGTCCTAATCTGTGCTCCCAGTCTAACTCCTGTCATATCCCTTTCTCCTCCCCCTGAATTCTACTTCTATTCAAGATTGCTATGCTCTTGTCTAGTCGGGGTCGCACACTTCTGCATTGAGTAGGAAGTGTGAGTAAGGAGAAATCTGAGTTCAAATACGTCTCTTTCTGGTTAGCTGTGCAACCTAGAATGAGTCACTCAACTTCTCATCCTCAGTTTCCCCATCTATAAACTGGAACAATAATGACATTTATATCCACCTAAAGCACTGCTGTGAGAAGTTAAATATGCACTTAGGCTTTGCCTAGCAAATAGTCGTGAATATAACAAGTATATAATTAACATTAATAAATATCATTAGCAGTGTAATCAAGAAGGCAAAAACTATTTGATAAGGGGCACCATTTCAGAGGACAGGAGTCTGGGGCTCCACAGACAGACTTCCCTTTCAGGATGCCTGGTAGGGATGCGTTACCCACTGGAATTGGAACTAGGCAGATAACTAGGATACTTTGGGCAGGAAGCCAAGGGAATCTGTGCTACTAGCTTTAGAAAAAGAGCTCAGGAAGCCTACTTAATTCTTTTCAACAACTCTGTCTCTGGAAGGAATCTCTCCTCACCTTGGAATTCTGAGGAACTCTGATAACTATGCACCTCACTTATGGTACATCTACCTCAGATCATCAGAGGGATTTTTTTTTTTTTTAATGTATGCATCAGATCTACTCAACTAGAAACTCCTTGAGAGTGGGCACCACATCTTAACTATTTTATAATCCCCTATGCACACATGCACTTAGCATGATGCCTTTGCCCTCGGTAGACTCCCTCAGTTTCCCCGAGTGTCCCAACTGGAACAGACCTTGAAAATCCTCCACTGTAAGTCCCCATCTTCTGTCCCCCCCAATTCTCATGTAACAGATGAGGAAAGTGAGGCGAACCTTTCAAAAGAACAGGAGATAAGCAGGGGACCACATTCATTAGTGAGAAGTCAGTTGATCCATGAAGAAAGGCCCCAAAGTTGGGGCTTGCTATGTAGGAAGAAAGGGGGGAGCCCAGGGAAATACAGAGAGTTGGGGGACAGGAAGGACCATTGTGAAGACCGTTGAGGCTTTGCAGCCCGAAACCAGAATTCTTAGGCAGAGATTGGAGTCTATTCGACATCTATCACAGCATCACAAATCTGTGAAGTTTAGAGCCTATCAAGCCAAGGTGATTTGTTAAATGTCAGTAAGAGCAAAGATAAACCAGTGTGTTTTGCCTGCCACTACTTTTTCTTTTTAAAATCTTGTTATCTCTGTTGAACACAAGACACACAGACATTTGTCAAGAACTGATTCCTGGGCCCTTCTAAAGAACTGGGCAGATGCAGGATGCACTCACAGTCCAAGAACAAAGCAGATGTGAGGGGCTCTGATCACAGAGCAGCCTAAAAGACCCACTGCATAGCTCCTAACCAGGTCACTGCCCTCCCTTCTCTGCTCTGCAGGGAGCAACTGTAGCCAATAAGTCTTTCTGCAGGGAGTGTGGGCGTGGGCATCTGCGCTCCAGATCTTCTTAGCTCTCATCTCCTGGGCCAGAGGCATTCATCAATGGTGAGCCCTCATCTCTGCCTGGGTTCTCCAGCCAGCCTCTAAACCCTTTCTTATGGCAGACAGCCTCCCTTCTAGCACAGTGTTTTAATTCCTCGGGCCTCAGGGAAATTCTAATTCTAATGTCTCAGGACTCTAATAGCTTTCAAACAGCCAGCTCGTTGGTTAAGCAGTTACAAAAACTCAGATTAAAATTATCAGCGGTCTCACCCCATCACCCTCCTCTGTCCCTTAAAACAATAAAGGCCTCTTTCAGCCTCCCCCCCGCCTTTTTTTTTTTCCTACAGAAGAGTGTCTCCCTTATCAATTACAGAACATTCAGTGAAGGACTCAACTTAGAATCGCAGTGGGGTAAACCAAGTCTTCTGCTGAGCAGAAGGAGGGGTGGCTGCTGGTCAGCCCACAGTATTCCCTGTCAGGACACCACATGTCTTTACTTGTTGAATCTTGCAAACTCATCACCTGATGTTCCGATCTCCCAATTCTGCTGGTGTCTGAGGAGGAGAGGGTTTCTGCCTTGGAGAGGGCGTGAGCTCAGATGATGGTGGCTAAGGCCTCAAGACTCTGAGGAAAGGAAGCAGTGTTTCAAGGAGGGGCAAAACACATGCCCCAGCTCTTTCAAGTTATTATCTGAAGATAAACAGCTGGAACGGGTGCTGCCAGAAAAGTAAAAGGAGAGTTCGGCTGCAGGCTTGTGGCTTCCTAAGATGCCCCTGACAGCACCCTCTCTGCTCCCCCAAACCCAGCTTCCGACTTTAGTGTCCAGCCCAGCCATAGTACAGATCCTTCTCTCTGGATTAAGGAACTCTTTCGGTCTCTGAAAAGAAACCATCAGGTGTGCTCCCAGCCCTCTGCCTCCAGGCCTTGCATGTGATAACTATGATGATAAAAATGCTCAAAGCCAGGAAATAAGCCAAGCTTTTTGACCCTTCTGCTTTCCTTCATATATAATTGTTTTCCTAGTCTCTGTATTTTTTTAATTTAATTCTAAGTATAAAACAGGCAGACACTTTGTTATTTAGGAATAATTTATACTATGTTTAGAGAATGACTGGGAGATTCATAGTGTGTTAGCTCTGAGAAGCAGTTGACATGATTTGCAGGAAATGTATTCAGGGAAATGCCTTAGACAGGAAATGGAGAGAAAATAAAACAAGACTGTCAGAGTATATGTGAAGGATGGAGGGAAGGAAGGATGGGCAGGTGTAAGCATCTTAGACTATGGTGCATTTCTAAGGGAAATTCAGCAAGGCTGTCAGGGAATCTTTGAGCCAAAATCACCCCTCAGAGGAGTCCCTCATCTTCCAGGACCGGGCCTTTGTATTCTTGATGCGGGGCTACTAAGTCATGGCTGGACTGCCCATGGGTAGCGTGACCTCTGTCTAAATGCCATGAGGGATTTCAGAGTGACACAGTGGGGGCCTTCAGTCAATCAGCTGTATGAGACCTTTGAGGAGTATTCTCATGGCTACCACAAGTACATTCTATAAATTTATCAGAATGTTTTTAGGTCAGCCCTACCTACTCATTGACTGAGGAAAGCTACTAAAGAAACGTGTCAACCAAAGGCAAGGTGACCAGGTTTCCAATATGCCTGTTAAAGATTTTGCCAGGGGTCAAGCAGGGATGCTGGTGGCTGTTATATTTCTGACTGCAGCGGAGGAAAATGCTTGTTTCCCAGAGGCAACAAATGGGAGCCAAATCTGCGCTGTCCAGCCTCAGAAACATGGACAAAGAAAGAACAATCATCAGAAACTCATGAGTTCCTCAAATGGCTAAACATGGATTACCATATGATCTAGCCATTCCACTCCTGAGCATATACTCAAGAGAAATGGAAGCATATGTCCACACAAAAACTTGTACACAAATGTTTATCGAAGCGTTATTCATAATAGCCAAAAGGTAGAAACTGCCCAAATGTCCATCAAGTGATAAATGTATAAACAAAATGTGGTATCTCCATACAACGGGATATTATTCAGCCATAAAAAAGAATGAAGTACTGATATATGCTACATAGATGAACCTTGAAAATATTATGCTCAGTGATAGAAGTCAGCCAAAAAAGAAGTCAGAGAGAGGCATTCTTATCTCCCCCCAAAAGGTGACACACTGTATGATTTCATTTTTATGAAATGTCCAGAATAAGTAAATATATAGAGACTGAAAGTAGATTAGTGGTTGCCTAATGCTGGAGTGTTGGGGAGTGATAAATAAAAAATATGGTGTTTCTCTGTGAGGTGGTGAAATGTTCTAAAATTGACTATGGCAATGGTTGCACATACCTGTGACTATACTAAAAACCATTAAATTGTATACTTTAAATGGGTGAAGTGGATGGTATGTGAATTATATCTCAATATAGCTGTTTTTTAAAAAAGTTTTAAAAATTATTTTTCAAAAAGAAAAAAAAAACAACCAACCACATGAACCTAGCCACCAAAAGCCAATGGCAGGGAAGTGGGTATAGGTGAAGAACTCAGGGAACTCTAAAATGACTGCTGAAGCTTGCTTTTAGTGCTAGCTCTGATGCAGCTCCCAGTCAGCTCCAGTGGGGATCCTCAGGGGTGTGGTTGGGTAAGCACACATGGTTCTTGCTGAGCCAATGGAGGGACATGAAAGAAGGATGAAGGAAGCAACTCTAACATGGAATCCTGATGCCAGAAATGCATTCTTACTCCAAAATTAAACCTTCAGTAAGAAGGAAGAGAGAAACTACCATACCCAAGGAAAGACTATCCTATTGCCGTGGCAACAAGTAACCCCCTCACACACATGGTTTTAAATCATTTAATCTATGACAACTCATCTCAGTTTAACTGAACAACCACAGGCCTCAGTGGGCATGCTTCTGTAAGCCAGTCAATTAGCAACAGCCACACTCTGGTTCACCAATCAAACCCTAACCTGACCTTCGCACCTCCCAGCACCTTACAGATCACTTTCCTGCTCCACTCAAAGAGATTGTA